ATCTTCGCGGACCGGGGCACGAACCCGTGTCCCCTGCATCGGCAGGCGGACTCCCAACCACTGCGCCACCAGGGAAGCCCTGTATGATGCTAATGATGCCATTTTTATGAAGTTCAAGAACGTGTGAAACCAAGCTCTAGTGGTAGAGGTTAGACTTGCGGCGTCCTTGTAAGGGTTATCTGCTGGGAGGGGAGCAGCTCCCACAGGGGAGCTGACCGGTGTGCTGGAAGTGGTCTAGATCTTAACCTGGAGGGAGGGCAGTTATACGGATGTAGACGGAAGCAAAAGAAATTGATTGAGGTGTACACTTAAGAGGCATGTTCTTTACTGTATATAAGTTAGATCTTAATAAAAAAAGAACATTAACTTTTTATCTTAAAGAAATGGCAGAAAGGTAGTAAGGTTAACGTATCACATTTAAGAGTCAGGAAACCGGTATGGCATTCGAGTTTCACTAAAAAATGGTCTTATGAAAACTGATTGTCCTCATTTGCAAAATTGGAATATTAATATCTACCAACCTCCTATAGCAATTAAGAGCATTAGATAATGTGTAAGTATTCTTGAGTTCCTATAAGAGAAGCCTCATATAAATATAAGGTAACATTTTGGGTGACACATTCCAAGATCTCATTTTCACTTAAGTAATCTCTTACAGATACTACCTCCTGTCTTTTAAGTTACAGTCGCTAAACTCATGAAGTAAATGAAAGTGGAAACTTGAGTTATGCCAGCAACAAATTGATAAACTGAGGCTCCAGGAGGGCCGCCTCTTATTCTTTCTATGACCCTTCTGAAGGGCGATCATCATAAAATGAAAAGTTAATACTTATTAAATCTTCCTGAAGGATTCAGAATCTACTTACAGGATTTTCAATTCCAGAGACTCCAGTCAAAGATTTATAAACAGCCTCGAGCCCTAAGACCATCCTGCTTATCTGCTTCTTTGTGAGGGTTAAACAATAACCAGGTGTAGTCATATCTATGTACACAGCATGGTTGAAATCATATAATTCCTCTGCATCTGAGCCGCCTCATGTGTTAGCACTGGCCGTATGTAGCTGTCAAGCACTTGAATTTGGCTAATCTGAATTGGTTTGTCCTCTAAGTGTAAAATACACACCCTTTTCAAGAGAGTGTACACAGAAAAAGAATGTAAACTATCTCATTGATATGTTTATATTGATTACATGTCAAAATGATAGTATGTCTAATATACTGGGTTAAATAAGATATATTATTCAAATAAATTTAACCTGTTTATTTTTACTTTTTAAAAATGTGGCTACTACAAAACTTTAAATTCCATGTATGGCTTGCATTATATTGCTATTGGACAGCAGGGCTGTGAATAAAGATGGAGATCTTCATAATGCTATTCCTCTCAGGACAGAGTTTTCAGAAATGGAGTTTTAAAAATTAGGGTTAAGATTGCTTAAATGTTCTCTGGCCAAATTACCTGTCTTAGGTCAGAGATTAAAACCTACATTTAATCCTTATACTCAACTGAGTTTTAGAATGGTCATATGATAAGATATTTGGCCTACCTGAAGTCATGGAATATTTGACCAGTTTTCCCTGAGCTTTAATCATATGTAAACCTGCGGTTCTAAAACCTTTGGGGAAACTTGAACTACTGAAACAGAGACATGACCTTAGTACGTCTCCTACAGGACTATCCAGAACACCCCGACACAAAAAGTATATTCAATTAACCAAAAACAATACTGCTACAAACTGAACTGTGTCCCCTGTCCCCGAACTCTTATGTTGAAGCCCTAGCCCACAAATGTGATGGTATTGAGAGGTGGGGCCTTTGGGAGGTAATTAGATTTGGATGAGGTCATGAGGGTGGGGCACTGATGATGGGATTAATGTTCTTATAAGGAAAGGAAGAGATGAGAGCTGTCTTTCTCTCCACCGTGTGAGGTCACTGCAAGAAGGCGGCCATCTCCATGCCAGGAAGAGAGCCCTCACTAGGAACTGACCCTGCCAGACCTTGATCTGGGACTTCTAGCCTTCAGAACTATGAGAAAGTAAATTTCAATTTTTGAAACCACCCCATCTATTGTATTTTGTTATGGCAGCCCAAGCAGCTATTACCTACCACTTGAAGCAATCTCTTTCTAGTTAAATATCATAATTAATCTTTACTTAATGCTAATTATGAATATATACCTTTTTGTTATATAAGGACAGGCCTGACCCATGGCCTCTGGAGACCAACTTGCTCACAGACCATTTTTGTTGAGCCAGGAAAAAAAGTCAAGGAGAACGATCATTATTTTAAAACATTATCACAATGAAACATTTTTTCTTAACTGTATCAAAATTATTTTCTTAAGCAAATGGAATTCATATTCCCACTTGAACTGAAAATGCTAAGTTTTTAATATCCCCCTAGGGATGTGCTTCCTGGTATGTCACCTTCAATGATTTTATCATAGCTTAAGCATAATAAAAATCTCATTGTATGCTCCAAGGCATGAACGATCCTAAATGTTCCTCCATCAGTACAGTGCTCAGCCTTGTGGCTTCTGGAATAACATTTTTGTTTGTTTGTTTTTATTTATTTTATTTGTTTATCTTTGGCTGCGTTGGGTCTTTGTTGCTGTGCACGGGCTTTCTCTAGTTGCAGTGAGCAGGGGCTACTCCTCGTTGCAGTGCGTGGGCTTCTCTTGTTGCGGAGCACGGGATCTAGACACGCGGGCTTCAGTAGTTGTAGTGCGCGGGCTCAGTAGTTGTGGCTCGCGGGCTCTAGAGCGCGGGCTCAGTAGCTGTGGCACACGGGCTTAGTTGCTCCACGGCATGTGGGATCTTCCCGGACCAGGGCTCGAACCCGTGTCCCCTGCCTTGGCAGGTGGATTATTAACCACTGTGCCACCAGGGAATTCCTGGAATAACCTTTTTAAAGGCATTACAAAAAAAGAAAGAAAGGGTCCCAGCCCAGGGAGCAGCCTCATACGCTTTGTTTCTTTAGAAATCTTCAAAACATCTTTAGGTGTTTGGTTTTAAAGAAAGAGGGGGAAAAATGGTAGAGAACCAAATAGGGTAGTTGATCAACCCTTGTTATCTATCACGTTAATCCCTTCTGCCACCTTTTAGAACTCCAAGAAATCTATACAAAATTTTGTCCGGCACATATTTTCTTGGAAAAGGCCCTGAGCTCTGAACATAATCTCCAAGGAGACAGTGACCAAAAAAGGAAAGAACCTCTTATTTCAGGGTTTGCTTTAGCGCACTCGGCGAATGGTCCTCTCTCTCACCTCCATGCCAGGTATAACCAGCCTCCCCACTTGCCACATACAGGCCACCTAACATAAGACCTCAGAAGGCATACCAGGCTCTGCTTCCACTCGTTGCCGGGTTACCTTGTTCCTTGATTTAATTTCCTGGTGTGTATATGTTTACTCAGGTTGCTGTCTCCTCATTTGGACGAGACTCGCAGTGGAACCTGTTACCACACTTATCAACATACCCTTTCCCCTTATTCCTCTCTACTCTTTTGAGGCCACCTGAACTTGTCACAGTGCTGGATGGGTTGTCCATCTCTTTACTCTCTTTGTGTTCTGGTCTAGAGATGATCAGTTTGGTGGCGGTACTCTTAAGCTTGTCAGATCACATTTCTGTCCCGCCAGTCCCAGGTGGTATAGAATTCTCTTCCATTCCCACAATAAAGTTGTTGTGAGAAAGCAATGGTGTGCTCTTAGCTCCCTAGAAGAGAATATTGTATAAAACTAATACAAGCTTTCGGTTTCCTCCAATTATTCTGGCATTGTCACACCAGAAGGCAGAGCTCTCTGCACCTGCCTTGGCCATTTCTTCCCTAAGAGTCAGCAGAGCGCTCGGGCACCCGCTGACGTCGCACCGCTCACCCCTTCCGCCCTCCCCAAAGCCCCCATTTCAAGTTCTCTCCTTGAACATAACTCCCGATCTTCCTACAACCCTCCTCGTATTGGGGTAAAGAACTGAAGCTCACTCTTTTCCATACTCGGCTCATCAGTCAATTCTAAAATCTCTTTTCCTTGCAGAGCGCAGATGGGTAAGTTTTTGGGTTTCGGTTGATTTTTTTTTTCCCCCTAAAACTTGCCTGAAACCAGTGAGTCTGGCCCTCGCACACCCGGAATCCCAAGGCGAGGAGTGGGCTGGCCAGGAGGGTCCTCGACACCCAGGGCTGTTGAGAACGAGATCGGCCCCGGGGAGCGGCGAGGAGACGCAGGCGAGCTCGGGGCCCGGAGCCGGGCCCCCCGGGCAGCCGCGCCCCGACTCGCCGACCCCCGCGGCGCCGGCGTCCGGACCCCCGCGCCGGGCAGGGCCCTCGGTCCTGGGGGGACCGGAGGGCCGGCCGGCCGGGCCGAAAGCGCCGCGCCGCGGCCTCCGGCTCCTCCTCGAGGCCAGGCCGGTGGGTGGCGGCGGCCCGGGTCCCCGGGGATGGCGGCAGCCGCGCTCCGCCAGCAGGTGGCCCCGGGGTCCCGGCGGCGCCGCCTCCTCCCGGCGCCCCTCCTCCCGCGGGGGCGGTCAGCGCCCCGACCCGGCTGGCACCCCGCCGCCGCCGCCGCCGCCGCCGCCGCCGCT